CCCCAAAACCCCAAAACCCCAAAACCCCGGGATAGAGAATAGATGTTGGATATAAGAGAGTTAAGTTTAATTAGTACTTTCAGGTGAAATGACACTCAACTGTAGTACCAACATTTTCTTCAGAATGCAAGCTTATTGTCCCGCCCAATTTCTCTATAATCTTCTTGCAAATCGTGAGACCGAGCCCGCAACCAGTCTTGTTTCTGTTATGGTTCGAGCTGAGTTTACCGAAGAGTTTGAACAGAGACTTCTGGTCAACTTTGGAGATTCCGATGCCAGTGTCTGTCACCTTGAGAGTGATGTCTATTGTATCTAGAAATTCTGACTCTGGTTTGTTGACATTTTCGAATCTTGATGTATTAGTATAAAAGAAATAATTAGTACAGTCATGTCGACTTAGAATACTATTTGATGATTCTATACATTATCAAAATTTTAATACCTATGTTCTCATCTGGAATTTCTCTCATATTTCTCAATATTCTTGAATTTTCTAGGAATTTTGACTCCTCCAAACTATCCAGACTTCCAAACATTTTAGACTCTTCTTGGTTTCGCTTCTCATGAATTTCAATTGTAATTGATCCTCTGTCTGTAAACTTGAGAGCGTTAGACACTAGGTTCATGATCACCTGTTTGATCCGGCCTTTGTCTGACAAAATTGGCAGCTCTTTTAGTTTATCCTGGATATTTATTCTTAACTCCAGTCTTTTGCCAGCTGCTTGGAGTGTAAACACTTCCTGTATCTCATTGATACACTGGGTTATTGTGAAGACCTCCTCGTTGATTTGGAAGACTCCGGACTCAATTTTTGCATTGTCCAGGATATCTTCAACCAGCATTGCAAGAATGTTTCAAGAAGATGAAGCGATTTGAACAAAACGATTGTCCTTTCCATATTCTTCAATTCTCATGAGCTCAAGTGAAGCCATGATTGAATTCAAAGGCGTTCTGAACTCATGAGACACATTGGAGAGCATCTGGCGTTGGTAGTGATTCTGAGCTTTGGCCTCTTCGAGCTGACTGATTTGAGTGGTTTCGATAAACATATGCATGAAAAGCACATCTGTTTGTAAAATATCATTTGAATCAACCATTGCTGTTTTAACTATAAATTCACGTTTCAAATGTTCATATCGAGAAGATGCAAAATCATATTTCATACTGATCTTGGTCTCCTTACTGCATTTAACACTCTCCATGATAGAGCTACGCTCATTTTCCAAAAATTGTGCTAGTGTAAGATGGCCCTCACGGTATTTTTCAAACTTGTCTATCCGTACTTCCTCTTCAATTTCACCGAAATCCACAGGCTGGGGATCATCCTGGAAGTCTTTTCACTCAACTGTGAATTCCTTGAACAGGCCAGTGAGAAACTTATCTGGGTCATTTTTCTGGTTGAGATGGGCATTGGAGTACTCAAACGAATACCTCTTAATAATCCTATCCAGCTCTTTCTTTATGAAAAATTGGTTTGCTTTCAGCTCATCTCTGACAGAATCTGGCCTATAGAAGGATCCAATGTCCAAGGTCTCTTTAATTTTTGGATTTAGGTATTTGAACTCCTTGTTGTTATTAATAATTACTACTCCTTCAGGGACGCAATCGAGCATAGCCTTCTGGCCTTCAAGAGTCTTCCTCTGCTTATAGCTAGCAATGAACTCATGCTTCAGAGTATTAGAGTAGGAATAAGCCCCAACTATGAAGAACGCTAGTGAGCAGATAGATCCGGTATAGTAGTAATCACTCAAAGTGACGAATTTACTCTTTAATCTGAAGAACCCGTAGATGTGGAGCAGTACTTGGGTTATGCACGCTATCTTCCAGTTTGTAGTCACACATGTGCCAAATACTAGCGACATAGTTATCTGAATCAGTAACCCTTCGTTAATTCTATAAATTAATACTTTCATTACCTGAAATAAGTGAATTTGAGGTTGACTTCAGTCATCTGAACATACATGATTATCGATCATATAATTCCTCAGTAATTAGCCATCCAATCAGACTTCTTAATCCCGATGATCAAGAAATAGATTATGATATAGTCGAGTAACAAGACTCAGACCCTGAAGAATAACTTTTCTTGTTGAAGAATCGACACGAATATGAGGATTAGAGTAACAGTACAGATAATAGCATTCATGACCGGCCCCCAGTTATTTCCGGATCTGAACAATTCTTTTCCTGTAATATTCACTCTCAAGCTCATGGTTGTCCGGGAATTCAACGAATAATGAGTCCCAGCTGATTAAAAATCTTTGAAAAAGCTTATGCAGTGTAGTAACTAGTGGGTATCTCTCCTATATTCCAAAATTAGTGGTGGCCTTGTTATGCTAAAATTTGGAATGAAACCCTAGAAAGCTGCATTTAGCGTGTTTTGGGGCTTAAAATATCCAGATGTGTTGGATTTCATTTTGAGACTTGTCTAACTTTCCCATATTACTTACCATTCTCAATAATATTATATTATTCCAATGAGCTGGGGCTTCTTAGGGGTTTTGGGGTTTTGGGGTTTTGGGG